TCGAGGAGGACTTAGACTGTCATGGTCGCACGTGTTCATTCTCATTACCTATGAAGCGCTTAGTGACCAAAATAATGAATTATCACTTTAACAGATTTTCACCTTTACTTACAAATATATTTTTTTACATTTTACTTACAAATACTTTACTTACAAATAAGAACAAATTTGTCAAAACAATAGGATTAAAATTTATCAAGGCCAAAACAGATTAGACTACCTTCATGTGCTGACGTCCGGTCTGTATAAATATTCAAATCCATTACCATTTACCGTGCATGCCAACTTTCCATTAAAAGTCGAGTGTTCGGACAGTCGTGCGTAGACAACAATCACATTTGAGTCAACACTTCCTTCTAAACACTGAGTTTGCAATGTAAATTGGCCACACACTGAATAAGGGTCCAGACTTACTGACTTATGACGTCATAATGTTAGTAAAGTTTGTTGTACACTGAGAGTTGTGTTTTGGTACGGTGCGTGCGAAAATTGGTGTAATTTTGTTTGTACATTGTTGATTTTGCTTTCGTTTTTACCAATGGTTATTATAGTATCTTAAAAAAACCAATATGTGTGCTGGTACCTATAAGAAAAAAAGTTATAAGTAAAGGAACCTCTTATTTAACGCAACTAGTAAAATTCAGTGTCATTTTTATGTCCCTTACTTTTAAAAACTTCCTTTGAGAATGGGTTGGCCATAAGCGCCACACTTTACAGCTACAGCTCTATATTGCACCGTATTTTACTCAGTGTACCAACACCCTAAACCAGCAGTGCAATGAGGCAGTTCTAGACAATTCGTCAGCTGTTATGGAAAGGTTACGGTAGTGCGCACGCAATCACCGCGTTACGCGATAATGAGCCTAATTTGTATTAAGTACTAAGCTTATTATCCTGTCTTTTAATTATTCTCCACGCGTAATATTATGACTTTGAGGTAGGTTGAGTGGTCGCATATACCACTGTCTAATGCAAGTTCTCGGGTTTTGCCTCGTTGCGTGACGTGATAAAAAGACAAACAAATACTCCATTATTACATCTGTTTAAATAGACATATCTAGTGCAATATCTGTGATCTATAATTTAAACATTATGTACCACAGCTGAGGTGTCCGAGTGGTTAAGGAGTTGGACTTGAAATCCAATGGGTTATACCCGCGCAGGTTCGAATCCTGTCCTCAGCGATTCTTTTTTTATAATCAAAACCTTTAAAAAATTTAAATTTTTTGTAAAATATTTGATCTCTTTTTCGTAAATAAAAGTAAGACTTCATATCTCATAGACTATTTCTGACTAACCAAAATTAGACATATTGCGTATTGTATATCTATTTACGTGTATGGCAAATGTAATAATATTTATAACGTTTGAAATTAAAAATAAAACCTATATAAGCATCCCGCACTCGATTTACCTATACCTCTATACTATTCCCCGACATTTTCAGTCAAAACGTCAAACTTTTCCAATAACACTAACAAAAACAATAGTAATATTTTATCCAATTCAATGCAGCCGTTCCTAAGAAATGCGCTGACAAACAATTTGCCAAATTAACTAAAATCGCGGGTTACTCACGTGAATATACTGAGAAAAGCTCTACTAGTTTCGAACCACAGAGAACCAGTGAGCTGCGCGACGTCGCCGCGACCGCGCACGCTGCTCATGAGGAAGAACCCCTCAGTGGTTCGAAACTAGTAGAACTGTTCTCAGTATATTCACGTGTGTAACCCGCGATTTTAGTTAATTTAGTATGTCTCACGATAGTTATTATAAAAATTTACCAAATCATTTTGTAGCTAGGTCAAATCAAATTAAAGTTTATTTACAAGTAGATATTGTATTGTCTATTATTGTTATCTACAACTGTACAAATATTCATATCTAGCGCTGTATACGCGCAATATCTGTGATCTACAATTTGAATCATGTGTACCACAGCTGAGGTGTCCGAGTGGTTAAGGAGTTGGACTTGAAATCCAATGGGTTATACCCGCGCAGGTTCGAATCCTGTCCTCAGCGTTAGTTTTTTTATGGTAATTTATAAGAAGCCTTGTTTTCTAATATTTTGACCCGTTATTGGAAGGATTTGATCTAAATAAATATCTATAAGTCGTCATCTTTTTAATTAAAAGATATATGGGATATTGGGATCGTACCGTTATGTATATTTTTGTTTTCTTTATTACATCGTTTTATATTATAACTAGCTGTTACCCAAGACTTCGCCTGCGTAAAATAATGGCTTCTGGTAGAAATTGTGCTTTTAATTAATCTTTCGCATATATTTATATTCCACAATTGTAACAAATGTCATCAGAATCTGTTCAGTACCTAAGTTAAAGTGAAATAAATCTAATTTCGAGGTTGAAAAAAAATCCGCTGGGGTTTTACCCATACAGTGCCCGTCTCGTGAGGTTTCAGGGATAAAAACTATTCTATGTTTGCACATCAATGTAGTACAAAATTTAATTGTAATATAGTCTATCATACGTCTCTACGTTCACCTGTACGTACACTATTCCTTGACTTTTCTGATCAAACTTTTCCAACAACGCTGAACAAAACTTAAAAATTGATTATTTTATCCAATTCGTTGCAGCCGTTCCTAAGAAATGCGTTGACAAACGATTTGCCAAATCAGGCTAGCTAGGTCAAATCAAATTAAAGTTTATTCACAAGTATAGATATTTTTTATTAAAAAATCGTTGCACCATACTAAGATTTTCTCTGTGTCGTGAGTGCGTTTACAAACATACAAGTTCACATACACATAATGGCACCCAGACCCGGAACAACAATTTGTGGATCACACAAAAAATTGCTCCGTGCGGGAATCGAACCCGCGACACGTTGCGCGGCAGCCAGTTGCCCAGCCACCGCGCCAACCGTGCAGTCAAGGATTGTATTGTCATATATCATCATCATTATAAATATTGTATTGTCTATTATTGTGTTATCTACAACTGTACAAATATCATTCGTATCTAGCGCAGTATACGCGCAATATCTGTGATCTACAATTTGGACAATGTGTACCACAGCTGAGGTGTCCGAGTGGTTAAGGAGTTGGACTTGAAATCCAATGGGTTATACCCGCGCAGGTTCGAATCCTGTCCTCAGCGATACTTTTTAAATTTTCTATTGATATCTAAGTTATTTTTTTGTCAATTTAACATACACATTTTAGTAATACTTATCAATTTCTAAATCGTTAATTTTCATTAACAAGATTTTAAAAGAGGAATGTAAGATTCGTAGTAATTGGCGTTCCTTAGTCTCCGCCTACCCCCATGGGAGACAGGCATAAAGTTATGTATGTATGTACATTTTAAAAGAAAGAATGCATACTATATTTATTTTGACATCAAAAAAATAACACAAATTTTCCGTTAAGTTTCACAAAAGAGTAAATAGATGAAAAAGTGCAATTGCAAACTAAATATAAAAAAAATTTGCTACAAAAATAACACTTCTGTCGGATGTAAACGATTTCGCTGTCTAATCATAGCTTAGATACTCAGTAATTATACATAATGTTCAAGGTTTTCCTACATAAACTGTTATTTTGTCAATTATATGTTATACTACATAGTGCATAGGTACTATATTATTATAATCGTAAGGTTTTTCGTGCGCTCGAGACGGTTGAAATTTTCCACGTAGGTACCAAAGTGGTAATAATGTCTGTAATTTTTTTAAATGTTTAAATCGATTTTTTAACAGTAATTTTTTACCCACGAGGATATGGTTTCGATTTTCAGACCTTCATTATGATATTTTCACATACATAATATAATATCACGCCTTTTATCCCCGAACGGGTAGGCATAGGTGCACATTATGCCATTGTACAATGTAGAGGTAATACCCACTTTTCAGTATCTCATGTAATAGGGGGCTCACCTATTGCCATATACAGGGCACAATTCCAGACTCCGTGCTATTATTGAGATTAAAAAAAAACCAATAATACTTTGCCCGACCCGGAAATTGAACCCGAGTCCCCTTGCCCGACAATCGCTCTTGCGACCACTCGGCCAACGAGGCGGTCTAAGAGGCAGGGTATAATTTTTCATTGTGAAAATAATGTTACTTTAAAACCATGAATAATCCTCGACACTGAAATTCTACCACTGAAGATTGAAGGCTAATCAACTATTAATAGGATACAATTTAACTTGCAGTACGTGTCTTTGCAATTCAATCGTTAATTATTTAAGTACTACAAAGAAGGTCTGAATGAATTTACCATGTCAGATGCAGAAATGGAAGTTAGTTATAGAAGCGTATTAAACAATATAAAGGTGTGTCCAGAACTGACGAACACCGCAGATATGGACACACCTTTAGAGCATAACATAACATAATATCACGCCTTATTTCCACGAACGGCAAGGCAGAAGTGCACATTACGGCATTTAATGCCACTGTACAATGTAACATACTTTTCACAATTTATGATCCCATGTAATAGGGGGTGAGCCTATTGCCATATACTGGGCATAATTCCAGACTTCATGCTACTACTGAGATTTTTTTTTAAGAACCCAGTAATACTTTGCCCGACACGGGCATCGAATACGAGACGCCTTGCCTGGCAGCCGCATTGCGGCCCCACTCAGCCAACGAGACAGCCTTATTGAGCAAAACGTTTATTATTTACGCGAAGAATTAGACAAAGATTTTTAATATGGAAAGTTGTTTTAGTCAGTTCATTCAGATATCCGGATAAACTTTAATTGGGAATTTATTTTTCTTCAGGAAATAGTGTGAAGCTATGTAGGTACTTAGGTATATCTTTATTACTTTCTTTACATTACCTTTACATTATAGTAGGTAATCATCTCGGAATAACTTACAAGAAGAATTTTTATTGTTATTTATAAACAGTTCAAATTATTTACTTGTGAACAAATCCCACTAACATAAAATTTTCTTTTGTCAACAGAACAGAAAAAATGTGTTGCTAAACGAGAGACGAACACAATTTTTCCAAGATGGCCGTGTGCTCGGCCGCTGTGATCGTGGAGAAGGCCAACAAATATTATGGCAGGCCTGACAAACCGGACTTCAAGCCTGTCCTTAAGGACATGGATATGGTCGTGGATAGGGGAATCATGTAAGTATTTTCTAGAACTTATTGAAATTAGCGACTTTGTTCGCTTGAAGTAGCCTATAGCCTTTTCTGTACATCCAATAAACAAGAAGATGGGCTAAAATAATAATTATGTTGTTCGGCTTACTCACGTAATTATTTGACGAGGAACTCGATTAGTTTAGAGCCATGCTAGAGGCTCATATTCATAAGCAAGACTGTGTGTATAAAGCGTAAAGTGACATCAAATGAACAAAGTATTAATTGTATTAGTTAAGTTGGAGGACCGGGGCGCGTGAGGGAACGAACCTCCACGAACCTCCTCACGCCCCAGCCGTCACGGGAGACACTCCGGGGGTCGGGGATCGCGAGACGATCTCCGGCCACCATAAGCACGGGCCTGCAGACGCCGAGCACGATTGCTTACTGATGGTGATCCGTATGCTCGTTTACCGGCTTATGCCATAAAGAAAAATACAGCATTATTCCAAAATATCTAAATTACAAAACATAACTTTCAAATCATAAATTTCATGTCTTGTTGACATCATTCCCACGGTGGCTGAGAGATCAGGTAGTGTGAATGTGAAACATGTAAATTCAGTTCCCTGACAAATCAATGAATCCACAAAACTTTTAAAACCACATCTAACTCCTATTCTTTCTACAGATATGGTCTTCTCGGGCCCTCAGGGTGTGGGAAAACCACACTACTGTCCTGTATAGTGGGCAGGAGAAAGCTGGACAGCGGGAATGTCTGGGTGTTGGGTGGAAGACCCGGTGAGAAGGGCAGCGGTGTACCTGGACCTAGGGTTGGGTATATGCCTCAGGTATGTTCAATGAATTTTTTAATCTGATAAATTAAATTAACTACAATGCCTTTGCGATAAATTTGCAAAGAAGCAATTGCCCAAATCGTATACAGCTCATTTTTATGAGCCGACCAGACTCCTCAAGTCATGAATCTCGAATGATAAATCAGTTTTGTTTTATAAAGAATAATTCCAATGTAACATAACATAACAGCACGCCTTTTGTCCCGAAAGGGCTAGGCAGAGGTGTACATTTGACGACTTGCACCGATTTTGGGTGAACCTATAGCCATATACCGGGCACAATTCCAGACTCCGTGCTACTACTGAGAATTTATTTTAATAACCCAGTAGTACCTACTTCGTCCAACCCGGGATTAGAACCCGAGATTCCTTACCCGACAGTCGCACTTGCGACCACTCGGCCGACGAGGCACCAACAATTCCAAAACATCAATCATAACAGTTCCAATACCATTACCAATATTCTTCATTTTCACTTTTGAGAATTTCCGGATGAAAACCCTGAAAAATTATCTATCATCCAAACTTAATCGCATTTACCCATTTCACAGGACATAGCACTAGTCGGCGAGTTCACAGTCCGAGACGCCATCTACTACTTCGGTCGCATTTATGGAATGAAAATGGAGAAGATGATGGAACGGTTTGAGTTTCTATCCAATCTGCTGGACCTACCCAGTGGAGGAAGGCTAATAAAGACCTTATCTGGAGGGCAACAGAGACGCGTCTCCCTTGCTGCTGCCCTGGTGCATGAACCTGAACTCCTTATTTTGGATGAACCGACTGTGGGATTGGATCCTGTGCTTAGAGAACGGTGAGTTAAAATCATTTCTCTATTTTCTCTATTTTCTGGCAAGTTTAGTGGGCATAGTAGATATCCCACCCATACGCACGATGCGGTTCGCATCAAGCTTCCTTGTGCGTATTGCTAAGGAGTGGAAATTTTTGCCAGAGTCTATGTTTCCTGAAGATATACTTGGGTGTCTTCGGCGCGAGTGAATAGGTTGCTTATGCGTCGACGTACTCTATCGTAGACCACTTCATCGCTTACCACCAGGCGTGATAGTGGTCAAAATGTCGGCCGACCAAAAATAAAAAATGTGGATTTGGTAATCAGGCACTGTTTAATGTCTTCAAGTCTATTCTCATGAAACAAAATTGTTTGTGGTATCTTCCATTCGAAATAACACAAAAAAAGTAAAAGATAAATAGTGAAAACTGAAATTAAGACCAAGAGTAAAATTGAGCAATCGAGGGCAAAATAGTATTATTAGAGAAAAGTGTGGATTGAAAGATAATGCAGTGACAAGGATTGAAATGGGAATGTTACGCTGGTTTGGGCGTATAGAAACGATGGATGAAAGTAGAGCAAAAAAAGAAGATACAGAGCTGATATGAATAGAGCATTCGATAGAGGGTGCTCTAGAGAGCATGTACTGACCAGATTGGCGATATATTAAAGAAGGGCCAAATTAAAAGTATCCTTAACTGATGACCATGCATGAAAAGACTTATCGTATCGATAGAATCGTAGGAATTGGCGTTTCATAGTCTCTGCCTACCGCCATGGGAGACAGGCATGAAGTTATATATGAAATTAAGACATGTTGTGACACAGAGACTTTTAAAAATACAGCAAATATTTCAACTTTGCAAATTGACGTCATAAATAGCATCTACCATGATCACGTTTTTCATATAACGTCACCAAAACTATAATTCTTATTAATAAATTATTTATGACAGCATTACAATATAAATATTGACACTAATACCGATAATTGTAGTCGTTTATTTTAACAATAATTATATTATGATAAATGGAGAATGGAAAAAATATAAGCATGACTCAGATGCGAAAGGTTCTGTATTTATGTATTTTTAACTGGCCTCGTTGGCCGAGTGGTCACAAGTGCGACTGCCGGGCAAGGAATCTCGGATTCGATGCCCGGATCGGGCAAAGTACTACTGGGTTATTTTTTTTTAATTCTCAATAGTAACATGGAGTCTGGAATTGTGCCCGATTTATAGCAATAGGCTCACCCCCTAATACATGGGACTCATAACATAAAGTGGTTGTTACATTGTACAGTGGCATAATGTGCACCTCTGCATACCCCTTCGGAGATTATGTTAAGTGTCATTTTCACATTCAATACAAAAAATGTTTGTGATCGACACAAACAGACCGCAATGTCTCACTTTTATGGTTTTATAGGTCCTTCTGCTCACGGAACCATAATTCATCGCTTGAGTAGAAACAGAGAACATTACCTATGTAGATTTTTTTCTACTGTTTTTGCCACTAACATAGGTAGTATCTAAGTCATTAATTTTACTTAGCCTTAAACAAATATGACTTAAGACAGAGATGTAATATTTTTTACTTAAATATGAAGAGCGCAAAATAACTTTGATAAGTCTATTTGAATAGAAAAACATGAATCAACCCACGGTGAACCCTTAGTATTTACTTGGTTAGTGTTTGAAGTGGGTAATCCTGAAGGTTATACACATAGATTTGAATAAACTTTGAATGAGATTAGTATCCATAGATGAGTGGTTTGTTAATCGGGTAACGTTCAATGGTCAGATTGTGTCAAAAAGTCGTATATCGTCATTATATAGCGTCATTGGTGCTATTGAACAAAAAAATTATTTAAATTACTAAATAATAACCATCGATCGTCGTGGTGGCCCAGAGGTTTAAGACGTCCTCTTCTCATGTATGAGGATGCGGATTCAAAACCTACCAACGGCAAGTACCTACCAATGTGATATTTTCCGAGTTATATGTATGTACTTCCTAAAATTATCTAGACACCACTGACAAACGGTGAAGGAAAACATCGTGAGGAAACCTGAGTTTATAATTTCTAATTATAAGTTTGAAATCGCCAACCCGCATAGAGCAAGCGTGGCGATTAATACTCAAACCTTCTCCGTGTAAGAAGAGACTTTACTCAGCAATGGGCATTTGTAGGCTGTTGATGATGATGATTGATGAACCATCGATCAGCAGAACTCAATCCACGGCTAGACACCTCTACATTAGCACGCCCATTTTTTTGAGAGGGAAGACTTCCAATGGCTTATGATGACAATCCTGCCCTGCCTGAGGCAAGAGGGAGTGTCAGATTCTTACTGACTGAAAACCACTCCGTTCCTACTCCTGCTCTTCGATTCGAAGCCCCGGCAACCCGTTAAGTCCTCTGCGACCTTAGATCCTCCATCAGCACTACTGGGCCACATCTGTGGTTGTCTGATGGCTCTTTGAGGCGCAGAATAGCATGCTTCTGTGTTCGATTTTTGCCTCCAACTACTGCTAACCAATCTACGGATATCGTCACTCCTCCTAACTAAAAACCGCCCTACACTACGTTTGTCTAAACGTAGTCTCCACTCATAAGTCATAAGTACGTCTCGACCATAAGTTCCGCCACAAACATGTCACAAGTTACATTATTGCGCAAAAACGTGCAAAAACATGTTCTATTATAAACATAAATAATGATGTGTGAATCGTCACATCACATAAATTTATCAGAGACAAAAGAATCCTTCAAGGTTTTTTGTAACCACATGTATAAAAATAAAATATTATAATAGGTACCTCATATTTATAGGATTTGAAATAGTCATCATAATGTTCAATGTCACCATTTTTATAAGTACATAAGTACCTATTTATGTAAACTTTCAGTTTTCGTTAGTTTTTTGTGAAATATTTAAGAACGTATGCTGAAACATTATTAGTTGATATTGGGGAAATTTCAGCACGTATCTTAATATTATAGTCATATCATAAATCATGTATGAGGTACTTGAAAGAAAAAGCAGAGGTATTTCGACATTGCACTCAGTTTTCATAATATACATAGCTCTTTATCAGTGTTAAAACAATTATCGTTAGGTTACTTCAAATGCTGCATACAGAACTAGGAGCCCCGCTCAGCGGGGCTTCGACTGTACCTCGGTATTACTTCTGTGAAGGGAGGATACGATAGATGTCCTAAACTAACTAACTATATACGTATAAATAATTAAACCTAGCATATATAATAAATTCTAATGGCAAAGGCCGAAAAATATCCCTTTTTGAACAATCTTCTACTAACTCATACCGGTAAATGTTAACGTTAAACAACATAACTTGCGCGCGCCTCAAAGAGCCATCAGACCACCACAGATGGGGCCTAACAGGGCCGATGCCGATTCGGAGTCGCGGAGAACCTAACGGGTAACCGGGGCTCCAGCTCGACGTGCAGGAGCAGGAACGGGGTGGTTTTTAGTCAGTAAGAGTCTGACCCTCCCTCCCGCCTCACCCAGGCAGTCATTCGATGATATTACCCCCTTAAAAAAAACTAATACGTAAAGGGCTTTTACGGCAACATATTATGTACTATCCCCATCAATGATAACACAGATTGCCTTAAAAACTCACTTTCTTCAACACAAAAGAACAGTAGCCAAATAATATCAATTGTCCAAACAAATGTCCATTGTTCTTACGACAATGACACGAATCGCTGATAATAATGATAACAACGTATTGTGCATCAGAAATCGTTGCATCATACCATTGAATTTCTTTCGGAAATGCCAACTCATACACTTTACTTTGGATGTTACCTTGGTAAGTATTTGTATATGCTAAGGTCATTTTGTGAGAAAGCAAGATCTTTTGTATAATCTCGAAAGTTCTTAGGTGGGTCACAGTGATATTGGGTTTTTCTGTTTTCGAAATTCTTAGGTTGAACTCCGCATCGTGTGCAGTGTATGGTGATAGGATTTATCTATTACATAGGACTGCCTCGTTGGCCGAGTGGTCGTATGTGCGACTGCCGGGCAAGGGGTCTTTAAATATTCTTAGTTACTACTAAAGACTCTATGCTACTGCATAGAGTCTGGAATTGTGCCCGGTATATGGCAATAGGCTTACATGGGACTCATAACATAAATAGTGAAAAGTGGGTGTTACATTGTACAGTGGTATAACGTGCACCTCTGCCTACCCCTTCGGGGATAAAAGGCGTGATGGTATGTTATGTTATATTATGTTATAGGAATTATAACAGAACTTGAGAAAACTGAGAAGAGTTACATTTACCTATAAGTACACGTTCTATCTATTTGTTATTTATTTATTACGTGTGCTCGGGTAGGTACAGTCATTAAAAGAATTTGGTATACAAGAAAAAGAAAATAACTATTGAGTTATTTTCTTTTTCTTGTATACCAAATTCTTTGCCAATGCTCAATATAGAGACAGTAACGTAGCTATTGCTCACTGTTAGTAAAAAACGAAAATCAGTTTTTTTGGTTCTGCACTACATAAATCTTTATTTACTTACCTTCATACGAAATTCTTGTGCTGACAAACATAGTACCCTTACCTATGCTTAACATTTTGTGATGTAAGATTCATTATAGTGTTCTTTTTAATTATTATTTCTACATATTTCTTTGTCTCGACAGTAATTAATGTAATATTTATGTGTATAGAACTTGTATACAAAATAATGTCCTGTTATATCGCTATAACTCATTCTATTGTTTCCTAAGATAGATTCTATTATAGTTAGTCACGTAATCTGTCGTTGGTTGAGTGATTACGAACGCAACTGTCAACCATGAGGTTCTGGAGTAGGTGCATAACAATCTCCAGAGATTCTTTTTTATGGGATAAGCTGGTTTAACCGGGGCGCCGGCTCGACGTGCAGGACAAGGAACGGGGTGGTTTTTAGTCAGTAAGAGTCTGACACGCCCTTCCGCCTCACCCAGGCGGGAGCAGTCATTCGATGATTTTCCCCC